TATATATATATATATATACTGTGTGTGTGTATATATACTGTATATTTTCTTTACTGATAGAAATGATAAATATAAAGAAAAATATAAAAATAAGAGTTAAAATAAAGCAGCAAACACACACACACGCACACACAGAAAGCCTTTTGTAGCCTCAAACCAAAAGGCAGCTCAGAGCAACAGAGTCTTCAGATTCAGTCAATAAATGTCTTTTTAAATGAACAGAAACACAATTTCCTGAGACTCAGCAGATCTGAGAGCATCACAAAGACTGACTATTATTGGATGTGAAACTGGGACATAAACGTCTTGTTATAAATGTTGCTCAAACACAAATCGAGTGTGTGTCTATGTGTATTTAAAGGCAGGGATGTACAGGGGTGACTCGTTACTACATACGACAAAGTATAGGAAATGTAGGCGATGTAGCAGTGACACACACACATCTCGCTGTCTGAACAATAAATGAATAACCTTGTTTATTTAGTCATTCGCTCTACCATTTCCTGCTCCATTCAGAGTGTTTCAACATGTGGCCTCTCTTCACTCTTGTGTGTGTGTGTGACTGAATAACACACACACACAGGAGGCAACACTATTGAATGGGGAGCTGATGATGAGTAACACTGTCATTACCTGATAGCCGCCTCGTCTTTCTGTCACCCAGGGCTTCTGAACTGGCGGTCCTCACCAGCTGCCCTTTATTTTGGTTATGGTTGACTTAACGTTATTTTGCTTCAGGGTATGTGTGTGTGTTAGTTTGTGTGTGTGTGTGCGTGCGCACGTGGAGCTTTCACTGTAACTGATGGTGTAGGATCTGTAATGAGGAAGTGGACGGAGTGTGCGATTAATTGTCCTTAAAGTCCGGTTTATTACTTGGGTCTTATTTTTGTTCAGATTAAGGCTGCATCTAACGATTATTGTCAACGGCTTATAATTGATATTTTTATAATAGCAATGTCAAAACAATTGGATAATGTGAAAAAGGGGTCTCTTGTAGTGATGAACCTACAGAGAATTATCACCTGAATCTGCAGCTTTCTTTGGCTTAAAGGAGCGTTAACGTGAGTTTCAGCTCATTTTTTTAGCTGTCCACTCTCATATTGTTTTTTTCGGCTGCAGCAGGCAACTGTTTTCAGAATAAGATCTCGAAATAGCCACTGTACACTACCTGCTCAGCAGCAAACAGACGCAATTAGATAGTATCTGGTGAACATAGTGGTGCATTTAGCCACTAGAGAGCCAGATAATTTCCCTCAGGAGTTGGTGGAGACCAAAAACGGAGCTAAAAGAGAGAGAATATTGGACCTATATATTCAGCAGGTGGCCAGAAACACAACTCCAAAAGAATAGTTATGTTCTTCCGTTGCTGTTCCACATATCAACCAAAAAGGTGACATGTCACTGTTGTGTTTCATATCAAAAAATCAGTCCAAACCCCAAAGATCTTCAGTTCACTATCCCATACGATGAAGAAAAGCAGCAAATCTTCAGAATTGAGAAGCTGGAACTAGAAAATGTTTGGCATTTAACTTTAATAATTGTCAAAATATTTGTTGATGAATCAACTAGTCATTTTCAGCTCTTACTGAGATCGGGGAACACGAGACCACAAGATCAGGTGTTCAACATACCTGGAATTAGCTGAAAAGCCAAAAGGCAAAAAAAATGTTTGTACCAACATTATCAGCGGTAAAGTCCCTTCAACTTTGTTCTTGATTACAAAACTTTCAAAACAGAATTACCACTTTATTTACAATGTCCACCTGCAGGCTGACGTATCAGAATCAGTTTTTCTTGTTTGTGGATCAACAAGGTTTAAAGTGTGTCTAGGAGCTGGTTAAACTCAAACAAACAAGATAGATGCAATTTCTTGAAACCACTATGTGCAGAATTAGAACATGTCTGCCTGTGGTGCCCACTATAAGACACCAATACCGCCTTAAGTTTTTTAGCCCCCTTCTCCACCATCTCCTTCAACAATTGGATGGATGGATGGATGGATGAAAAGAATGATAGTAAAACTGTCACTATCTTACATTATTGTCTATGGAAACTATTGTTTATTATTCAATTAGTCCAGACATGCTATGGTATTTATTCATGGAGATAGGATACATTGTAGTGTATTATATTTCCAATGGCTAGAATTTTCTAAATCTACTTTTACATTTAATAAATTATAAAATTTAATTTAATAAATTAATTTAAAAAATGCCTTACATGATGTATTTAATATCAACTCATATTAATCTGAGTTTAAAAAGGTTTGTTTATGGAAGTTTGAATATTGTGCTTTTCACCTTTTTAAAAAAATGTTTCCTGAAAGTTTGAATGCTCTACATAGCTTCTGCTGTCAATCAAATGAAGGACCGTTGTGCCAAATTAAAACTATTTGATTATAATATACATATCTTTTACAATCACCTTAATAGATTGCTGTCTTAAGCTCAAAAACGCAAAATCATATTGCTACATAAGCTAGAAACTATATCTCCTATAAAGATAATTTACGCTAGCAGTGTGCATTATTTTTATTTCATTCATCTTAATTCTTAAAATGTATTTGTAGTTAGTTAAATTACCATATTTTACACTATTCAGGTTGATGCTGATGGTTGAGAATGGGCAAAAATGCTTTTGATGAAACTATGATGGTGACTAGTAAAAATCTATACCAGCATGTTAGCATGCTGATGTTAGCATTTAGCTGCTAGCAGAGCTGGTGGCATGGTTGTAGACTCTTAGTGTTGTTGCTGACATTTAATTTAATTTAAAGAACCTGGCCAAATGTGCATTAAGTACAGGTTTATATCTTAATTTATAGCATATTAAATATTAAAATGTGCTGCAACTAGGATGTTTAGGATGATAGCTAACGTGTTTTCCAGGATAACACAACTGGCAGTCAGGAACAGCAACTATCAGAACAATCAGTAGGAAGATTTATTGCAGTAAATGGACCTAAAATGAATACTGATAAATCTCAGCCTTAAACAACGTCTGAGGTTTAACCTGAGCGGTCAAAAAATCTAATCAGACAGTCAAAGAAAAAGTTACTGGACTTATGGTTTCTCCTGCACAGGAGAAGCTAATGATCCACAAACAGAGAGCCTCATCTGCAGACAAAAGTCTGAAATAAGATCAAGAGACACCACGAGACAAAATCAAGACAACCATCTTCATCATGCCTTAGCATCGTTGCTTCCAACTGTGTCATAATCAGACTAACAAAAATGGTTAAAAAAGAGACTTTAAGAGCATCTCAATGTGTTTGATCTTCTCAACCTGCTTCAAACACAGACTACCTGCTCGCTTGTTTACACACACATTAAGACTGAAGCAACAAGTCAGTCTGTTCTGTGTCGTTGACCTCGTCCGCTCTCCCTCTAACAGATAGCCAGTCAGGAAATTAAAAAGTGCGGCGGTGAGAGGGAGAGACGCCTGCGTTGTCACATACAGATAAAGCAGTTTATTGAACCCCGGCAACTGAAAAATGCAATAAAGCGACAACAGGAAGGAGCGTATGGAAGCAGAGCTATTATTAGACCGCGATGTTTGCCAGAGAGAAACGCCAAAGTCGACGGTAAAGACAGCAGCAGCTGAACGGTCGAGGTGAACTTGATGTCCCTGGTGGTTTCCATCTGTCTGTCATCGTTGTGTACACATCAAAAAAAATGTGTAAACAGAGCTAAACAGTGACAAAGGACATAAAATAAGGATCTACAGCAGATGAAGAAATAGTAAAATAGCTTTTTAGTAAATAAACAACTTCCTAATTAATCTGGATTAAGATGAGATCATAATTAAATTAAAAGCCACAATAAATATAGTGAGGAAAGAAAAAAAGTTCTGGAAAAGTCAAGAATCATAAATATAAAAAATAGAAATTTGCACTAAAAACTATGCAAATTATATCTGATATAGTAAAATTCTTGACTCTTGACTTTAGTTTCATCTCCCCTCCGTTTTCTTTCTTCGCAGACGTGCTGAATGACGCCATCTTTGACGAAGACCACGACGAGATGGTGATCGTAAAAGACATCGACATGTT